AAGTTAAAACCAAATTGAGTGATTTAAATTTCTTCGAATATGTGAGCATTGATAATGGCATTCTTACAAGAGAAATGTTGACCGATGAGCAAATTATAGACTCCGTAACCTCATCTACAGCTTTAAGCGATAATGAGAAAGATGACGATTTAGGTGAAACGTATTCTACTGTAATCACTAATGCTGTTCCAACCATTTCTGAAATGACAAAAAAAGTGTCAGAAACTCGGAATTTTCTACAATCACGCCAAGTTCCTAATCATATCTGGGAGTCCTTTTGTGATCTTGAAAACTACATAAATAACATCTATTTTTGCAGCAGAAGTGTACAAACAAAAATTACAGACTTTATGAAGTCGATTTAAAATTGAATTTTGTTAATCTTTTTGTGTTATTTTTAGTCATACCTACTAACTTCTACTACTCTATGTAAAAATAACAAAATAAAATACACCACGTGTTTTTGTATTATTATCCGCTTATAGCGAACTCCGGATATAACAAACCAGTTTTAGTTCATTTTTCAAGTTCGTTATATCCGGACTCAACTGTACATAAAAAAGTAAGCCCCAACCACACCCGGTATAAGAACAGTAGGTACCTAATCTGCATGTATTTTTATGCCAGAAAATTCAGGAAACTTTAATCAATGACTCAGTGCAAACTCAAGCCAAATTAATTGATGCCAGGCGGAGCAACTTTAACTTGAAGGAAAATAGTGTGCTTATTGAAAACGAACCGATGGATGAACTACCTAGACAAAAAGCAGGGAACGACATGTTGCGAGCATTCAATGCGAACCTAAAGTGTGCCGTTGCGGCTAAAGAGACCGTTCAAAATGAGCTGAGACAAAAGGTACGAGTGTTTTAGTCGCAAAAGACAAATCAAGTAATTTTGCCCCCTTCACGTTAACTAGCTGGAAGACGTCAAGATACTACAAAAGGAAAACCAGTCTCTCAAATACGAAAAGGAAAAAATGCTTTCACTGTACAGCGGCAGCAAAACTAACGCTGTGAAGCTCGAAAATCAAGTAATTCGCACTCTATTAACCAGTGATTCACACGCAATATTTTTTCCTCATACTTATAGATAGCGAACCTTAAGGCCCAACTTCAAGCAAGGGAGGCGGAAAATAAAGGTCTAAAAAATGAACTTGACCAGTGTAAAAGAGAATTAAAAAACGCCACAGTTAGTGGAAATAATTATGAATTACGATTGTCCAGAGCAGCCGAAGAAGTAAACAAACTGAAATTAACTCTGACGCAATACAAAGAGGAAGAAAAAGTACTTGCATTGCAACAGGCTCAATCAAGGCTTCTAATAAGATATTTTAGGATTTAAAGGCCAGTTTCAAGAAACAACATAGCGAATTGACTCTTGCGTTGAAACTTTTGGAAAAGCAAAAGGACGAACTTTTGAGTGGGTTTAAGAAACAGATGCAACTGATAAAGTTGCTCAGAGACCAGAAGGTAACACCAATAGTTTCACTCAATATGAACAGCGCCTAGTGTTTGCATTCAATCGAATTAATATAAATCAACTTCTCATCCAGGTCCACTTAGAAGCCCTAAGAATTGGCGAAATGTCCGATGTCGAATACTTAAAAATCTTGGACTGGAAATTTACGCAGCGACAATAAAAGTGGTACAAAACTTCAATAATTTTCAGTATTTTATTAGAAAATTCGTATTACAAAAATAACATCTTATAGACTAACCATGCTTGAGATGATACTCTCAGGGTCGTAAATAAATGAAAAACTACTAAAAAAGCAAATCGTAAAAAAAGTATCAAAACATTCTTCATACAAGATTTGAACTTGTAAAGCGAGGTAAAACGAAACTGATATTCCTTAGCCTAATTCCTAAACATATTTTAACATAGAGATTCACTCCGTGAACAAGGCAAACTCAACAAAAATGCATCACGTAATTATTTTATTACCTGAGTAAATAAGCCTTATTCCAATTTTCGGCTTTAAACGAAGTCTACAAAAAGAACAAGCTCCTGGACAAATTAGAGTTGGCCGGTCTGAAAAGAAAGTGGTTCCTCATGAAGGCAAATATTTAGCAAGGTAAGTGAACGGCAAAATGTACCTGTGTAAAGACTGGGCAGTGATGAAAGCCAATTTGTGAGCGTATTGGCACGGAGCAGGCACGGCAATAGTTCCAGACCAGTTGAAGTACATATGACACATTTTGTACGTAAATCGCTGAATCTTATTAGCATTGATCCCCAGGGTGTCTTCAATGACGTTGTAGCTGGTTGGGCTTACTGTACCTTGGCGCACACATTGAGATACCAAATAGAAGTCATAGCTGTGAGAAACAATTTCCAGCTATATTTTGTATGAACATTAACAAAAATGTAAGCAACTTTACCGTTCCGGAAGAGTAATAACATCGTCCACTACGGTACCAGGTGGTGGATTAAAGTCTCGCCTTTGACTCGGCTGAGATCGGAAAATCTTTGCGTTGATGCGCTTACTAACAACTATATAGGCCATCTTCAATGGTTGCGTTGTATAAAACAGTTCCGTCAGTTTTTGCTTGATTGTATCTACTTCATGTTCTTTCACATATTTAATTTGGCCGTCGCCAACAGCATCACGATAGATAATGATGCGGTCTAAAAAATATCCGTGCAACTGACAAAAAAACACCGCCAGAAGCGATTTTTACCTGGCAGAACCTTCCTTCGCGTCCGGAATTCAGTGCACGCCAGCACCAAAAACGAGGCAAAGGTGTTGCTCAGTTCTTGTTCCTCAGCATGCTCCATTGTAGCGTTAAAGTACTGAGTGCAACCCTCATCCATCGAAGCCACCATGCCTGCGAAACTTTTTCCTCGGTTGGCCGTATCGCGACAAACATCGTAACTAAATCAAAGACCGAATTGAAGTCCAGTTTGCAAACATTTGGGTTGCTTGCACTTACCCACACACCATAATATTTTTAGGCATACATGCACCCCACGGAGCCCCGCCCATTTTGCAAGTCATTTGAATAGCCACTTTAGTGGCAATAGACATGAGACCTATGAATAATTGAGTGCCAATTAGTGAAGTAAAGTTTCAGAATATTGAAGTTCCAGTCGTACCCTTATTATTAAGACTCCTGTTGGTCATAACTTGACAAGGCATGGCTCGGTCTACGTAACACTTCTTCTTTATGGCGTTGTAACGATCTCCGGAATTGTTCGGCACCGCTACCAGCACCATGTCACACTCTTGACTGGTAATCACGCGGTCCAGCTCAGAGAGGTAGTTGTGGGGTTTATCTTCTTGTATTGGAAATTTCCTACCTTTAATACGTATTTGCATACCTACAAAATGGTTAAAAGTTGACTCGCACTGTAAAAACGAAAAGGTGTTCTATTACCGGCAGCGGCTTTTTCTAACATTGGCATAAAAGCATTAATGGCGCTTTCCATTCTCCTAGGAAAGATCACCGCCAATCGGTCAATATTAGCGGCATTGTAAATAGGCGAGGATCGCAAACTTCTAGTCCAGTCAGCCTCTTCGCCACCTGAGGAAACAACACACTTCAATAACATACCAAAGAATTTGGTTTTTCTGCTGACCGTTGATTTCAAGATTGTTTTTAAGGTACAGAACTTCAGTTGGCATAACTCTGCCTGGGAACTCGACCAACTTGTCAGCCAATTGGAGATCCCACTTCTTGACTTCTGCCACTGCCCCTGGACAGCCTCTTAAACGATCAATAAATCGAAGTAGCTTGTCCATTCGTTCTAAAACAGTTTAAATTCATGACATTGCTCTATATCACTTCTTATAGCGATCAGTACCTCCAGGATTAACGCGGGTGTGATCGCCCATAGCTTTCATTAATTGGAAGTTCTCCCTTTGTCGATCAGTCAGGCCGGTCATTGAGCAAAATTCGGGTAACAGTGCCACTATTTCCGGCATACCAGCCCTGATTTCCCTCGGCTTGCTTCTCGATATGAGTATCGGCTGGTCTTTGATCTTCACATGCAACTTGTAACGGTTCTCATAGTATTTGATGTATGTAATATCCGATCCTAAAAAAATGCATTAGAAATCACTAGAAAAGCAACAAACAAACCAGTCGGCTTACCATCACGAAGTTTGAAAGAAGATGCGGCAGTTTGTGAAAAATCGACATCGTCCACTTTGTACGTTTTGTTATTATATTTGGTCAGCACAATCGATCCAATGATCTTGTTAAGGAACTCATGACGGGGATCGCGCGCTCTCTGACATTCCATGAATACATCATAGACAGTGTCCAGACGTAAGACCTAAGGAGGGCAAAGTTGCTTCAACACAGAAGCTAATTACCAAACAAAAACTACTACCTTAAAGGAAAGATCGACGTTCAGCATAATACTGCGTTCGAATTGCCTCATTGACGTTAAAAAGCCAGGCCATACCTCCAAGTTGTGTTCGGCCAAAGTCACCTAAACATTAACATTTCGAATTTGGTCAACTAAAAACCCACCAATCACAAAACCTTACCTTCAATTTAGAATCGAAATAGTTGCGACCAAGCAAGCTAAAACCCATCAATGCAAAACATTTTCGAATGATGATATTGAAGACTTGAAGGTACTGCCAATTTCCGTCGCCCAGCACAGACACGAAGCTTATGTGGAGATAAATATTCTCCTTAGCTAAAGGAGAGTAAAACGTTTTTGAACAATCGAAGAAGTTGTTTTTGAATATCGTAACTTACTGACTTCATTGTTGACAACGAATTCTAATGGCTCGGTTGGAGTAGATGATAGATGGACTGGTGTGTAAATAACCGTCCCATCAAAAAGATATCCGGACACATTTCTTTGCTGCAATCCAGTGTACACTAGTTTCTTGCGAATTCGCGTATCCTCCACGGGAGGATTGAAAGTAACGTGATAAACGTTAAGGGTCCATTTCTCCGCTGATACCAGCTCAAAGAAGTTGGCCCGTAGCAAAATGCCTTTACCATCCACACCTGACCAGACATTACTCTAATTAAATGCAGACTGTAAGTTGTAACATGTCACTTACCTTTTTTAGTTTGCATATGTGGCGGTCGAGTGACGAGAATTTCGTTCTTGCTCATTCTACCACGAACTCCGCCATTACCTCCCCTTGCCACGTCTCCAGAAGGGCCCACTCCAGGTTGCGCAGCTATCAATTGAATATATTATTGTCTTAATACGACCGCAGCAATTATTATTTAGCTTACTTGGTGGAACAGGGGTTGCCTGATTAGGTGCAGGTGGGCCTGTGCGTATATCACCTCCGTGCTAATAGACAAATTAATAAATTAATGTAAAAATTTGATTCACTGTTTTGGGAACCTTTTAAAATCGAGCTGAGTAAAAACCAATGTTGTTTACAGTACCTGCTGTCTTACTTCAGATGTGGCTGGTCTAGGTCCCCAACCAGGTGGAACCGGCTGCCGCATTGGTGCCCCTCCAAATTGTGCGGAAGGAGCAACTGTAGGAGGTAATCCTGGTCTAGGATATGCCCCTTGAGGTTGTGGAGGCGCCGATGAACCCGGACGATTTCCACCGCGCTGAGCAGCTTGAAGCCCTCGGCCCCTTGCCCTTCCTCGACCTCGTTCCATCCCCCTTCTATAAAGAAGTAATTTTGAATACGTTTCTAACTCGACTAAAGAAGCTTGTTAATGTTTGTGAACAATGCATGCATTTATATATGAAATTTGCCTTATCGATTGTGCTAAGTTTATCTTAATGTGTAATTTATTTAAGCCGCCGAGGTCAAGTTCTCTTCTACAATTTTTTGATGAAAAATCACAGCGGCACTATATCCGGAAGTTCGTTATAACCAGTAAAAAAATACGTTGGTCTTTATGGACGACGTTTCAATTAGAAGAAAAAAGTTCGTTTTAACCGAAAGTTCACTATAAGCGGACTTTACTGTACTTTAATTCCAAACACCTATGAGCGATCTCATAATATCTACCCGACTACGCCGCCTAAGCGGGTTCCTACCCGGTATTTCCACACTTATCGCTATAACCTGACACATAAACAATCAGTGCCCTTATTTATGGGTTTCTCTGGAGTTTATGGTCGCCCGAGTGTTTTGCTGATAGAGCACGAATCAATTATCGACAACATATGTTTATGCCTTTGGGACTAATAAAATGAAATTAGTGCCAGGCAAGGAAATTAATAGTTACCGATGACTTACCAGACCTTAAGGACAGAAGAAAGCCTGTGCCAGCAAAGAAATTTTTGAAAAATGGTTCTATAGATGAATTTACATGCAGACTTCTAATTTTGGACAATGCGCCAGGGCACCCAGAAGACTTGTCTTCAGATGACAACCAAATTGTTGCAACCTTTTTGCCACCTATGCAACCCATGGATCAAGTTGTATTAGAGAATATTAAAGCAGAGAATGACGCTTCCGAAAGTGCAGAATTAAAAAAATGATCTAAAGCACGTTATGATTGAAATGGCCAAGGGTTGGGAAATGTGCGATCTGAACCCTGAATCTGGTATGTAGAAACCATGGAGTAAACTAATTGAGCAACAAGTTGATTCTTGGGATGTGAAGACTTCAAGACCTTTATAAATTGTTTTCGGCAAAAATTACAAAGTTTGCAATGAAAATAACGAAGCTTTAATTACCGTAAAACAGAAAAAAATTGTTAATTGGAATCGGAATTGGAATTACAAGTTAATACTGTATAGTCTGAACTATGCAATTTAACAAAGAGTAACATACTCTGGGTAGATTTCAAACCGTAAGATGCAGAACTTTATTAAGTTGTTTCGAGAATTAGTCGGAGTAGTTTTCAGGTCGGTAAAACAACAAAAGCCTGAATTAAGGGGAGGTTCACGTGCTAACCAATTTTATCATGGAAATAGGCCCACAACGACAGAAGTAAGAGTGTAGTCGTTGGTTTTATAGAAAACTAAACACAACCGGCCAAACTTATCCTAACATTTTCATCAAACATGTGACAAAATGGTACTTCTTTTTACCAAGTATTCGTTCGGTTTTATGTCACATCAGCAGTTGTGCAAGTGAAAAAGGATTCGGAGCGTGCCTCCAATTCATTAAACGGACGCCCAGTTTTGCCTAGACAAGCTATTAGCATCAGGCAAGTCCTTGGATAATATTTCTCAATAATCAAGTTAAGAACCTTGTAAATATTGCGATTCGAAACAACATAGAGTGGCAAATGTGAAATGAAACTTTTCTAAAAGCTTGCTATAACGAATGGTACTTACCTTTATTTATTTGATTATCAATTTATCCCAAACCTTTCAACCAAAACCCTTCAACCTGGACTAGGTTCCAAACGGAAAACAAAATGGTGCTGACACTTTCGACACCTAACAGGTCGCCTAGGTACTAACGCGCAATTCTTCCAACTGTAGTAGTAAATATCCCTAACGTTTTCAAGTTCCTCAACCGAATCCAAGACTTCATCAGACTTTTTGCGTAGGGTAAAGTTTCTAAAATATGTGTAAGGTTGCATCCTGCACCTCTAGATACTCCAGATAGAGTCCCAGTTATTCTTCATATACTGTAAATTGCTGGAAAGGCATGTTGCCAATAATTAAACAGCACAAATAATTTAAGAATTAATTGTAGAATTCACCCGTGTGTTGTACTTTGTACTTAAAGAAATACACAAATACCTACTTCTATTAAACACTGTCTCAGAACAAGACTAATAATGTATATTAAATTACTAGAATGTGATGAATTGCCGTCAATCAATAGTATTTCGAGGTTAAAAACGTTAAAAGCTGGGGCATAACAGAGCTTGTACTCTTCTATAAAGACAATGGCCAAAAGACAGTCTCATGCACCCCAGGAGGAAGAAGAAAGCCTGTCGGACGAAGAGCTGAACGAATTAGTTGAACAAGACGAAAATCCCAATTTATTTGAGCATTTGTATGAAGATTTTCAAGAAATGATGAAGAACAAACAAGTTCTAAAGGGTTGCGTCGAGAGTTTCTTCGATAATGCAGTGGATGAGGCTACATTGGGCATTATTTTCGATGTCCATCGAAAATTCAAGACCAACGCGTATTGCTTGGAGGTGCATCAACTGGGCGAAGAGGATGAAACTAGTAAAAATGAAGCTTTCCAACAGGCCTCTGTGAAAAATTGCCAGAAGTTCAACTGCCCGAACTGCGAACGGACTGTGGCACCTTTAAACTTTGCTCGCCATTTAGCAAAGTGCATGGGTAAGACAACTTGCTTAAATTCACAACGCATACAGCTTATAACGATTCAGTTTCTAAGAATTAGCCTGAGCAATTCAAATTTCTATGAACAAATTCAGCTTCAATCAGCTTTTCTTTATTAGGTATTCGCAGTGACAGCCGTTCGTCTAGAACTGCGACTCGAAGGGCGGTTACTATTAAGGACAAAGAAGACACGTCATCTTATGGGAACTTTGCATCTGACGATGATGATGATGAAGACTGGAGTACACGGAAAAGTACCAAGAAGAAAGACAAAAATGGGGGCAAAAAAGGAAGAGGTAACATAAGATGGTGCCCCGTAAGCTCATGAGCAACAGGGTACTGCCATATTCTTTGGATCAGCGGGCCTAACTTGGCTTTTGCTCGATGGTCAAGATTCTTGAAAAAGTTGGTCTTTGTTGAAATAGCAGAAGGGTACGATGGATTAAGGAGCATGGAAATAATTTTTGCTCAAAAGCTATGATTGCTATAAGAGGATAAAATTGTCATCAACCCAGAAGAATAGTTGATTTCAGCTACCAAATAAAAAGTTCTGGTAGCTTTTGCACCAAGACACTGAAGAATTCCTCACTTGCCCAAAGCGGCTGAACTCGGCTGCTTGATCAAGACAAGAGTCTTATACAGGGTGTCCCGTAAGCACATGATCAAAAGGGTACTGCGATATTTTTTGGACTAAAAGAAGACGATCGGCCTAATCTTTATTAACAAAAAATGTCTGGCTCCTCTGCTATTGATGGTCAAAGTTCTTCAAAAAAATTATCTTTTTCGAAATATCGGGACAATGGTACGCTGTATTTTAGTGAAGCTCGCTGTGAATTTGTTCTTATGTAAGATTCATATGTTGATGAAACAATCGGGTTCGGCCGTTTTGGACAAGTGGGGAATTCTTGCGTGTCGTGGTACAAAAACTACCAGAACTTTTTAGTTGCAGGATGAAATCAACTATTTTTTTTTGGTTGATGCACTAGTTATTTATGCAGAATTTTGTGCTCTTTGTAAAACCTTGTAGCGTTCATAGTTTTTGCGCAAAAAATATTTCTGTTTTCTTGCCACTTAACAATGTTAGACATTAACTGCAAATATCGTGATACGATACATAAATTAATTGTCAATCAATCGCATGAATTTGTTTCTAGCGACCTTTTCTAATGAAGAAGTGGCCGACATGGTCAAAGTATTAGGGTTTTGCGAAGACAACTTGCGTGGAAGCGTAGGCGTTTACGCGAAGCATATTTGCAGTTAATGTCTAACATTGTTACGTGGTAAGAAAACAAACATATTTTTTGTACAAAAACTATAAATGCTATGATTTTACAAAGAGCACAAAATTGTGAATAAATGACTAGTGCATCAACAAAAAAAAAATGAGTTGATTCCATCCACCAAATAAAAAATTCTGGTAGTTTTTGTACTCCGACACTAAAAAATTCACCACTTGTGCAAAATTTGGGTCTTACATAAGCACAAATTCACAGCGAGTTTCACCAAAATACATCGTATACGATCGTACGAGAATGGTATACCATTCTACCGATATTTCAAAAAAGAGAATTTCTTTCAAGAACTATGATCAGCATTTATTGTTAATAAAAGTTAGGTCAGATCATCTTCTTTTGATCCAAAGAATATCGCGGTACCCTTTTGATCATGTTCTTACGGGACACCCTGTATAGGAATTCAGAAATTTTCATTAAAATCCATCGTACCATTCTCCCAATAGTATTTCAAAAACCATAATTTTTTTAAGAAATTTGACCATCGATAGAAGAGGGGCTGGACATTTTTCTTAATTTGACCCAAAGAGTGTCTAAGTGCCACTTTTATCATGTGCTTACGGGGCACCCTGTATTACTTTCTGCAGTTAAAAGCAACCATACCTTTATTTTGTCTTCAGGAACACCAAAGAAGAACGTAGAGCTACAGGAATATGCCGATGCCACGAATGTTGACATAGAAGGTACATAAATGCATATTATTCTCGAATGCTATGTCATTCAAGTATGGATTTTAATCTCAGGTAGTTATGACGAAGTTACCAATCTCCGCTACATGATGGACAATGGACGACGCTCCTTCGGGTTTGACTTGCAAGATAGTCGATCCAATAGTTCATCTCCAACAGATGGTACTGGATCATACACACCATCCAAGAAACGCGATAAGGCTAAAAAGAAGAACAAGGGCAAAGGATCACCCAGTACTTCATTGTCATTCGATTAGTTGGGCCGTTATTCTAACTTTTTGGCGTCTTCGAGGACATTTTCAATGCAACGTTAGTGAGCCGATACATTCATGTGTGCCAATTCAGGACCTGTAGGTATAAATGGTATAGCAGTGATTATGTACTTGTCTTCAGATGGCATATTGGGTCAGTGCATAGTCATTATTATGTGTAATGGTGATGTAGTCTTTGAAATAATTTAATTTTCCTAAATAATTCATTATGTACATACTGTATGTTGATTAAACATCTAAAACCACTTAAGCGATACGTATTTCACTTATTTCGCCTCTTGCGAAATGACCAACAATGAACAAAACTTGCAACACCTAGCGAGCTGTATAGGCAGGATTCGACGCAGGAACCGCAGCTATGGCATGATATTTCTCGTTGGGCAATTCAATGTAGATTGGCCTGCTGCCGGAAACGCATCTGTTATCTTCCGTGATTTTTTGCTGATTTATGCTGTTCATCTACATAGAAATACATGAGCGCAACCAGTCACTGCTTGTTAATCTAACTTACTTTTCTCCTGTACAAAATTACCAATACAGTCAGAACTGAGATGACGAAAGCGGATGCAGCAGCAATCACAATCAAAGCTGTATGATATGGAGCTACTGCAGAAACGGGCGCTTGTGAAACGATTTCTCTGTGCTGTAGGGCCATTGCTTTGTCTCCTAATTCGCTCTCTTGCGACAACAATTTGTGAATCACTCTGGATCTTGTGATGTCGGCAGTCAGTCCAGGAAGTTTTTGCTGCATGATCTGTAGTATTTTGTATGCTCAGTGAAGTGTGTACTTTCCAAAATTGTTCGATATATTACCATCTGCTCCAAGCTGTAGGCGACGTCAACTTTGTTACTCCCAATCACAGAAAATGTTACGTACAATACATCAGGAGTCACATGCGTGTGAAATCCATCGTCATTCACGTTCCCTTTCAGCCGTTGAACAGTCTTCGTTATCTGGTTCACCACTGGAATGGCCAAAATGTCATCGAATTTACCTCGGAACGCCAAAGTAACTTCTGCGCTCTCCACCGGTACAACTCCTAAAAGGCGACCTGTTTTTGCCTGTATGGCTTAAAGTATCGACTACTCACTGCAGGTTTTTTGCTGCCTAACAAATGTGCTGGTGCCAGGTAGCTGATTTCCGGCCTCGTCCACACACCAGCAAGTGTCTTCTTCGCATTGAGTGGCCAGAAACTTACCATCAGTGTCGCATTGGCCACCCAACGCCTCGCACCTTGTTAGAAAGGCTAAGTCGACGTCAGTGTCCATTCGATCAATATCAACATCCGATACCAGATCTTCTTCGTCCATTGATCCTAGTTGCATCATTAGCTCTTCTAGAACTGAAGCGAATAGAGTCGCTTTTAATCCATACTGACTTAGGTATAAGTTGTTTGAATGCACTCTTACCTAGGTCAGCTTCACTAGCAGAATCGATTCTATTGCTAGCCGGCCTGTTCCGCGCTTGTCGAAAGTTGCATTCCGGTTCAGCGCCTCTGGTCAGGGTTCCTTTGAGCGGCTCCCCAAGAGGTGTGACACACCAACAGACTCCCACATGTTCCAGGCATTGGACTGGCTGCCAATTTCCCGTCTGCGGCTCACACCTTGGAGCGAATGTGGGTTTTTTGTACCGGTCAGCAGCCCGCTGGTTCTTTTCGCGCAAACGTTCGCACTGACTCAGGACTGTATTACAAAGTGATTAAATATTACTACAAGGAGACAAGCGGAAAGCTGACAAGTTACCCGGACAAACGGAGCTGCACATCATTTCGCTATGAAAATTGTTGTGATTTCCTTGGCACCCTGAGTACGTAAAGGTGTCGCATTTGTTCGTTCTGGAATTGAAGTAATAGCGAGTTACATTCCGGGTTGTTTCGCTTGCTAAGCATTTTCCTGGATCCAGCGGCTCAAAGCAAACGTCTCCTGGAAAGTTTAAAAAACAGTAGTTTGATGACCTTAATGATTTAGGTTTCAAACCAGTCAAGCCTAAAAAGAATCTAATGTTTCCCAATTATGGGTTTGTGTTGAATTTTAAGTTTGATGATGGTGCTGTTGCAACGTAATATGATATAAACGATATGAGCATTTTTATTCCACATTTTGACTGAAACCCAGGAAAGAAAAAATATAATAACAATTACACGCAGCCAGGAAAATAAATCAAAATAAATACTAGATAGATTGTGAAACTTACTGGGTTTAGGGCAGCAGACTGCATATTCTCCTACAGGGCTTAATTGACATTTATGCGACGAAGGACAGCTTTCTGCCTCAGGTCCACACGTGAACAATTCATCCCGGTTGCCCAACCTGAGAGGCTCCCCATTCTGGCATGGATTCTCCTTCTTGGGTAGGCACATGGGTACCGAAGGGCAAGGCAGGTTAACGCACTCCACCGCCACCAGTCTGCACGTCTCTCCTTCACCTACGGGAGCAATAATGGATGGCAATAACTTAGACCTGATCAATGGTCCAGCTCCATGTACCTCGACAAGAAATTCTGGAGCAGGGCTGGACGCAGTCGCAGGTCCTACAGCCATCATCATTCATCATATATCCGTGTTCGCACTCCTCACAATCCAATTCTGAACAATTATGCGCTGCAAATTTGCCGTCGCAATTTAGATCGGAATCTTGGGTTCGGGATTGGGATATTTCGAAACCTCGCTCATCTACGCACCTAAGAACACCAAAGTGACAGGATTATTCAGATTATACGGCAAGAAACTTGTTAATTTTTAAAAGGTATCATTTTATGAAAAAATCCTAGATTTTATAATTAATTTCTAATGCAGGGGCATTCCAATTATGAAATTCAATCCAAATTGCATTTTTTTGAAGGAAATGATTGATTTATTTTCGCCAACTTTGACCCCAGAACCAAGGCAATCAAATGGATCCTCGATATACACACTAGAAAAATTAGAGCCAGTTGGAGACACGCAAACATTTAGAAAGCGCTTCGATTCTCTGAACGCGATTGAGCAACGCGCGTTTTAAGTGACGATTTTTCGAAAACAGTTGCTCTAAGAGTTTACCACCAAGACATCGTTTTTGCTTCACATTAAACCAGAATTCAACAAAAACAAACCGCAGGTCGATCCATTGGGTGTTAAAAAACGTAGAGCCACTTGAATAAAGTAAACCTTTAGCAAGTTCTTGGGTTCTCTAAACGGGATTAAGAAACGCGGGTTTCAAGTCCGGATTTTACAAAAATAGTTCCTCTGAGAGATTTTCCTTAAAACATAATTTTTGTTCAACTTTGGCCCCAGATTCAAGGCAATCAAACTGATCCTCGATATGCAAGGCAGGAAAAAAAAATAGGGCCTGTTGGAGACACGCAAACATTTAAAACGCGCTTCGATTCTCTGAACGCGATTGAGCGACGCGCGTTTTAAGTGCCGATTTTTCAAAACAGTTGCTCTAAGAGTTTACCACCAAGACACCGTTTTTGCTTAACATTGAGCCAGGCGCGTTTCAAGTGTCGATATTTCTAAAACAGTTACTCTAAGAGTTTTCCACCAAGACACCTTTTGTTCTTCACATTAATTGATTTGATTCTGGGCTCATAGTTATTAATATCAATGTTGGAAATGTGAGTTTTATTAAGGTTTATCTCACGCAAAGCTTACGGTTTCTGAGATTTTTTGAGTATTGTGCAGAAAAATGAGGCGAATTTTTTAGTCAATCCGCTTTCAATGTTAATAGAAGATATTACGTTAGACATTAGAGCAGCCATGTGGTTTCACATTGATGGAACGTTAACATATTTTGATCGCACCATGCAGACCAAGACCAAGACTTGCCTGGTCTTGGTATCTGGTCAAATATCCATAAAATTATACTTTAAAAAAATTAAAGTTCAGGCGCAATCTTCCGCGTCGTATAACATGAATAACCCTGTTTATCTTCCAATGGAAAAAAATACTAAAATCGTTCTAAGCTTGGTCAAACCGAACACAACACAACTTTGACTTTAATAATAGTGTTTAATTGGTTTGTTGCGCCAGCACACGAAACTCACCAACATTCTTTCGTTCCATGATTGCACTGTTTCGAGGCATAATCGCCATCATCAGTGCAAGTGGGTATGTACACTTTTCCCGCCGGAATTCCGGACTCATGCGCCTGATGCAGAGCTAAAGTCTTCTGATGCTGACAACCTAAAAAAAACCACTTCAATAGCGCAAGTGTTGAGATAAAATTGTAGTCAATAGGAGCGGGGTTAGAACAACATATAATTGTGTGCTTCGGAAAATAAAACGCAATTTACCTGTTAGTAGCAATGGTTCAACGCAATGAGTGCCACATCCATTGGAACAGCATCGCATCGTTCCATTGCAAGACAAGTCCGAGTTACATTCAAAATCGCAGGTGGGCGCTGCGGCTGGAACCAAGTATGGACACTGGCCCATTTTCTTTGGAAGACCTGCATTAATAATCGCAATTCGTTATTGATAAAGCAAGAAAATGTGCTGCTTGGGGTGGACCTACAAGCTGGTACTGGTGGACAATATTGATCCCTGCAACTCACTTCTACCAGCTGGCATTGCTCGTCCTCTTTGCAGAGCACACCGCTGCATGGATCTCTGCACTGACAAGTGGGGCATCCTGGATTACCAACTGATTATCTGCTGCAATTTTACTTCTCTTACACCTACACCTTACCAGTTTCTTCTGATAAAATGAAGCCGTATTCACAGCCCATTCTACAAGTGAGATCCAAACAGTCCATGGTTTTCCTCAGTGCCTCGCAGTTGGTTGAGTTATCTGCACGTCTATAGCAAGCAAGCAAACGTTACTGGAAAAATACTCAACAAATGAAACCGGGAACTTTACCTGGAATTAGGAATTTCGGTGCCAAAATTATCCACGCACCAACATTCATGTGAATTAGTTTCGCATTGCGTGGCAAGATAGTTTCCTTCCGGATCACACTCTGGAGTTGGCAGAGCTAAAGTCATTCCTTCTCTTGTTCCCTCCATGCTTTCGGTGAATCTCCTCAGATATTCGCACACTTTTAGCAGAACGAACAGTTTTATTGCCGAACAGTAGTGTTACAGTACCTTACTTGTTTGTGGCCTTTCCTCAGCTCGAAGGTTGAAATCTTCTGAAGCTTCTCCATTCAGCGGATCCACTCCGTCTACTTCCTCCACTGGGCAGCATACTGCTTGAGTTGACCCGGGTACTGAGGTACATTCGAAGGCATTTGGGCAAATGGTACCTGCGAATTTGCAATATTGGGCAATGCAACGTGAAGCTGAACGGAAATCTTTCGTACCTTCTTCAGATCTTAAAGCGCACGCAACTGGGGCGCCAATCAAATCATCAGTCAGAGGAGTTCCTTGAAGACATGGGTTCGCATACACTGCTTTCGGTCGACCTGAATCAGATCACCGTGAATTTCTTCAGGCAGGGCTTGTTGCTGTTCACTTACAAACTGGTAGAGACGGGCAAAGAAAATCTGAGCAACTGATCTCTTTCACATTAACGCACTCTTCGTCTTCTGGACAGGTGTATCCATCGCAAGGATCGTCGCACTTGCATGTATGACATCCATCATCACCCAGCTTGAAACCGTATTCACATACTGCTGCACATTCGAGCTGATCGCATTCATTGCCATTTTTGTCCAGGCTTCGAGCCACTGTTATTGCACGCGCTGCAAATAAACATATTCGTTCTGCACATAGACTCCCTCTGGGAGGTTCTTCACTACCTTCCACAATTGAGCAATTAACGGCGTCTGCTGGCCCCATAGAACCTTTCAGCTTTCGGCCCATACGGTCCACGCACCAACAAACCAGGCCATTTCGACTGCATTGTTTAGGTTCGAATTGACCGTCCGCAGTGCACTGAGGCACGTATCCTCTGCCAGCTCTTTCACTCACTGCTAACACTTCCGATAGAGCTCGTTGGTGATAACATTCTGCACAGACAATTCAGACTGATTAGGCTTGTAAAAAAATAGGCTGCAAGTTTTCTACCTGTTACATTCTTGGGATGCATACAAGACGCTCCACACTGATCAGTCTGACAACACTTTTGTACAGACGAACATTCAAGATCGTGGGAGCATAAGGTACCGCAGTCCAAATCTGTGATGTCTGCTGCGCTAGGACATTGTCCAGTTTTTTGAAATTTTAGAGACGCCGGACAGCATACACCGTAGTCATTGTCTGAAGCAATAAACTAGCATGTTTTAACCAATTTCGGGCAGTTTCCAATGCTGCAATCAACTACCTTTTTGAACCAGACATTGATACATTGGTGGACATGTGGGCTTTCCTGGATCGTTTCCGCACAAAAACGGCCGTACGGTGTCACTGATTCTTAAAGGGTCTCCCACAGGACAGATGTTTTCCAAACTCCTGCCCCGTTTGCCTGCAAACGTACCAAGAAGATGAATTTCTTAATAAGTGTGAGAACCAAGAGATTTCAATGTGAACCCTCAACAATGTGCATCGAATAGTAATTGCTTTGGTATTTCAAACATAGGTAGGTAGGACAAAAGTCAGTTGGTGACTAGTGAAAGTTCGTTTTGTTTTAATGCTGCAATTTATGGTGATGGCACCTACCACGATGTCATGCCAAGAACCAATTAGAATTCTGTTGCAATGTACGAGGTATTTTCAGAGAAGGAATTGAAATAAATGCTTTATTATGCAGGGTCGAAGGTGCACGCTAAACCGAAAAATTATATTGCGTGCCACTGCTTTTAGATCTTGACTTTTAGTCTGATGAAAAAGCGGAAATATTCATCCTTGACTTCTCGAAAACTTCATGAAAACGCACCCATCTTTCATAACAGATAATCGAAAGAAAGGTCAATAGACTTCTTCGTGACTAATAAACGTGAAGTTCATTTCTGTGGCCACTGTTGATGAGATGCTTAGAATCACTTTTCCTTTTGACCAGATATATCTTTCAAATCCGTAACAGGTTGATTAATCGATGTTATTCTTAGGTCGTAATTTCAGATGATGCGGATTTTAAGTATGTAGAATGTTAATTGCAGGATGCATGTTTGCTAATCTACCAGTTAAAAGTTCATCAACCTAGGCATTAAAATAACTTGGAAGACACATGCAAATGCCACAAATAATTAAACTGATTGTACAATACAAGCGCTTAAAACGGTTATCTATTATGTTCCACTTACATGTTGGAACAGGTGGACAGGGTGGATCAGCACATGCCAGTTTTTCCAAATGACACTCCAGCGCATTGGGACATTTAATATCGTCACAGGGATCTCTGCAGCGGCACATTGGACATCCTTCCTTGGTGAGGGCGAAGCCGTGAGGGCAGAACATTCGGCAAGTGGCGTCAGCGCACGCTTTAGGAGCTAGAAGAACTCAGACAAAATATATCACGGTACAACGGTTAGTCCCAGAAGTGATGCCTGCTCATTTAACATTAAAAAATCGACGACAATTTGTGCAAATGTGAAACTTAGGACTCTTGAACATTTGCACCCCTTCTACGAAAGAACCCAAATTTCACCACATTACCTGCGCTTGATGCGATTTGATAAACTCTCAAACACAATCGCTTCCGATTAAAGCTCCTGATATTTTAGATACATTTTGGCGATTTCCCAAAAATGAACGAAAATTTGTGCAAATCTGACGTTTTGGATTCTTAAACGTTGGTGCATTGTCTACGAAAACACCGAAAGTTTACTTCATCATCTGCGTTTGATGAAATTTGATGATTTTTGAAAGGCAATCGCGCCCTATTTGTACACTCGGTATTATGGTAAATTTTTAATTTTCCAAAAACCAACGAAAATTCGTGCAATTGTAAAACATTCAATTTGAGAACATTTGCACCTCTTCTACGAAAAAACCCTAATTTCACATCAGTGATTTCAATTTCCAAATACAATCGCTTCCGATTAAAGCACCCGATATTTTAGATACATTTTGAAAATTTCCCAAAAATGAACGAAAATTCGTGCAAATCTGATATTTCGGATTCTTTAACGTTTCCGCCTTTTCTACTAAAATACCGAAAGTTCACTTCAGTACCTGCGCCTGCTGAAATTTGAAGATTTTTGTCGCTTCTAAGGTAAATTTGAAAATTTCCGAAAAATTAACGAAAAGTCGTACAAATGTAAAACTTGAGACACATTTGCAGTTTTTCTATAAAAATACGAAAATTCCACTTCAATATTTGAGCTTTCTAAGATTTTATAAATTTTCAAACACAATCGCGTCCGATTAAAGCACCCGATATTTTAGATAAATTTCGAAAATTTATCAAAAATGAAGCAAAATTAGAGCAAATCTGACATTTTGGATTTTTGAACGTGGACGCCTTTTCTACCAAAATACCGAAATTTCACATCATTACCTGCGCTTGATGAAATTTGATGATTTTTGAAAGACAATCACGCCCAGTTTAAACAGTCGCTTCTAAGGTAAATTTGAAAGTTTCCGAAAAATTAACGAAAATTTGTGCAATTGTAAAACTTGAAACACTTGAACATTTGCACTTTTTCTATAAAAATACGAAAATTCTACTTCAATATTTGAGCTTTCTAAGATTTTATACATTTTTAAACACAATCGCGTCCGATTAAAGCACCCGATAGATAAATTTTGAAAATTTTCCAAAAATAAACGAAAATTTGTGCAAATCTGACACTTTGAACCCTTGAACATTTACACTTCTTCTACGAAAAAACCGAAATTTCACCCCATTAGCTGCGCTTGATGCGATTTGATGAAGTTTCAAGCACAATCGCTTGCGCAGTTTTTTGGACAGAAGTTGGAACTCCATTGAAGTCTAAACATTCAGGTACGATATCCTTTACCTAAACTCAACAGAATTCGAGGAATTTACGAGGCACAAATTTACCAAAATTACGAGATGCCTTAAAAATCAATCGTATCCAAACATTTACTTTTGCGGTTGTAGAAATGGTGCAATGGTGTTAACGGAACGAGAAAAAATCCAACTTCTCTGCATCGTTCGGTGCAGAATTTATTCAGAATTTCTCGTAAACAGGCCATAAATCAAGAAGCTCGGGTTCACTCAGTCGAATATTACATGAAATGATTGAAGACCGATCAATTGGACGAGGTGCAACAGCAGCTGGCCACCTCGATCACCTGACTAAACAATCGGGACTTTTCACATCAAACAATCAGGATTTTTTTAAAGCAGACTCCAGTTGGGCTTAAACATCCATTTTGAGTCAGAACTCAAGAAAACTTTCAACAAAGTTTCAAAACTTTCTCCCAAACAGACCATTCATGCCCATAAAAGGGCTCGGACTCATTTCAGCCCAATATTATGTACATAAAATATAGATCAACTGGAAAAGGTGGAGCAAAAATAGGCCTCCTCGATCACCTGACCCAAACAATCGGAACTTTTAACGAGTTACTAGTGCCATGACTGTTAAAATCTTATTGTTCGGTTTGATGATAGAACACGAACCCAAATAGAAGCAGTTCATGTATTTAATGGAATCCACCGTGAAAAGGTGGTGAGTAGAATAGAAGGGCAGAAACAAACTCTCCCCTAAGAAAACAGTTCGATTTATAATTAGAAATCAATTTTGTCATTTTTTTAATGTATGCGTCTGTCATTAAGCGAGTTTCACGCGTTTCTGGTTTCATATATTTGCAAAAATAAGCAGAAAAACATTTAATTCAATTGAGACGTAATTGGAAAAGTATAAGAATCATCCGTAAGCGACTTGATTTCAAGTTGCGGTAAACGTTGCGAATGCACAATTTCACTAATCAAACCGTGCACGCAATTAATTGTAAAATTATCGCGTTAGAAACAAAGTGGCAACCATAAAATGCAGATAATGATAGCGCCTGAGTAACTAAAACGGATGTCTGTGGAGCCCAACACCCATGACCTGATTTTTCCATTTCCAACACTTAAAATATGCAACCAGACCGCCAATAAAACTTTACTTCTGTTTTGATGTAATATTTTGCCTTTAAAATGCATATGGATTGCTTTTTGACTTACAGACTGCATCCTTACCTGTACAGTTTACGAGTGCGGCAGCAGGAGCTCTTGTTCCAGCACGTTCAAATCCTGCTTCATCCACACACCAACAGGTGCTGACGATTTCGTTATCACATTGAATGGGTTCGAAACCCCCTTTTCTGTTGCATCGCGGCATTCTTACGCCTTTGGCTTCGACTCCCAGGGATTTCGCTCTTCTGGATGCTGCCATTCGGAGGGTCTGACAACCTAGGCAACAGAAATATATTCTTCGAAAGCTTGAACATGGGTTTCATGAGTAAAAATGCTGCATCTGATAGAAGTGCAAAGGAGAAGCAAAGCGAAATCCATTGAAGCACAAGGTAGAAGAGAATGTTTCGTTGTTCAGACTGCTTGCTACATTTTTTAACAAGTCTAGAATAATAAGATGTAGAAGGCATCCGTTGTCGTAGTTGAAACTTGAGTGCGGATGAGGCAACGCTATCAGCTCCGATAAAGAAAGCACGGCGCGTGAAGAGGACGATCAGGCGAAATTTGTTGAATTTCTTTCTCCAAAATCCAATCTTCTCCCGCCTTGGCATTCTACTTGTTTAGGGTTTCTACTTGTTTAGGTTTAGGGTGATTTCAAGCTTCACTCGAACTATATTGCAGTATGCAAAATCTTTGCTTCAACTGTCCAAAACAACGTTAAATACACCCTCTTTCCTTCTCTTAAACACTGTGCTGAAACACTCAGTAGGCTCAGATCTTGTTGCGGAGAAGAAGCCGAAAAATAGCATTATGAAGGCAAGGATGCACCAGGAGATAAATGGAAATCTGAATAAATTAATGAAGATCCGTGCGGCAGCTCAGAATCAACCCGAAAGCAGGAGGCAAAATTTAAAGTCGGCCATCAAACCTGGAGCAAAGAACAAACCGACAAGATTGTATGCCCAACGAGATATTAAGGGTTATGGAGAAATCTTAAAAACTCAGACGCACAAAAGTATTTATAAAGTACAGAAGGAGATAAAATATAAATGGTTTTCAATCGATCAAATATACTTCGAAGGTTTTGCTTTAAGAATTTGAAGTAAAAGCATTTGCGTTTTAACGTTTTATCCATGAGACCCCATGTGTCACGTTTCAAATACATGGGTACAAACGGAATTGCGAAAAAATAACATTATGTATATCTGTGGCTGTGGCAGTCAATAAATGTGACTGGTTTAGTGGAGAATTGAATTCAATTAGCCAACGGTAGAAGAAATGTCAACTTTTTCTTCGTGAACAAAGTTTCTCGATGTGAGTTTCTTCATCTTAAAGGAGGCGATTTAGCATAAGATTACGTTAGTTATTTAATCTGATTTATTTTCCTGACTGCGTGTACTTGTTATGATATTCTAATCTTTCCTGGGTCTCAGTCAAAGTGTGAAGTAAAATTTTTTGAAATATCGTTTATTTCATTACGTTTCGGCGAGACAACAGCGCCATCATCAGATTTGAAATTTACACGAACTCATGATTGGTAAAAATCAACGTCCTTTTAGGTCTTTGCCTTCTTGAACACGTTCTTTAAAAAAAGGTTTTCAAGAAGGATTTTAACCAATCATGAGTTTGTGTAAATTTTAAATCTGATGATCGCACTGTTGTCTCGCCGAAACGTAATGAAATAAACGTTGTTTCAAAAATGTTTACTTCACACTTTGACTGAGACCCAGGAAAGATAAGAAAATCATAGTAAGTTATTTAAGTTTGATGGTTATTTGCATTCTTCCTTAACGTCCGTCTATCATCGATACATGATACAATATTTCACTGGCGATTAATGAGGGAAATTCATAACGTAGCATGAAAGACTCGCTTTTTCCAAACCGCAGTAGGATCAGCATGCAACCAGTGAGCATCAACTTACCATTGCGAATTGGAAATGTTGCAAAATTATATACAGGGTGACTCAGATTAAACGACATGAAATTATTTAATTTATAAAAACGATTACTTCAGAGCCTATTTGGGTCCATCAAGATCAGTTAAAATGACAAGTTAAACAAATGTTCAAGATGGTTTCTTTGAAAAAAAAGTTTTTCAAATTAGCCACAAGCAATGATTAGCATCAAACGCCTAAGTGTTGTCTTGAGATACTGTTCAAATAGACTTTTTTGAGCTCAAAATCATCGAAAAGTATGCGAAAAATTACGTTCTTTTCAAGTCAGCTTCGGTTCTAAACAAGACATGGAAGTGCTTCCACCAAATTAATCCACTTTTAATAATTTTTTTGTCAACAACGATTTTATTTAATGTTAGCGAAGCGTCCGCAAAATGAGCCCACAGCTTGTCTACATTTTTCAATGTGTTCTACATTAGGAATTTTATTTTTAAATGTCGCAAAGCAATTCGCCATTTTTCAGATTGTGTCTTCCATTTGGAAAAGGTTTTTTTTTCGGAAAAGGGTTCGCACAACTTTGACATTTATCAATTTTAATGTGTTTATTCTGCCGATCCCTTCGGGCACGACACCCACTAAATGGCAAAAAAATGTGAACATTTTTGAGTGTTTTTTATGCGTTTGTTGTTCCGTGTGTCCCAAAATTGTATTCAAACAGTAGCACGTTTTGTTTAACGTTGTGTCGTTTAATGTGAATAAGCCCTGTATAATAATAGTTGTTCATGTGTGAAATAATCTACAGAAGTCTTTTTCGAACTGTGTTGTAAAATTGTAACAGTTAAACAAATTCCTCAGGCGTTACCGAGCTCAAAAGGCATTGCACATTTCACAATGAAACCCGCAATCGCTTAACAAATCCGGGTGAAGATTAGTGAGAATTTTTCGATATTTACCAGTAAAAAGCTGCTTGGTGCAAACTTTGCCACATGGACTTTTACAGCAAACCGCATCCAGAGCGCAGTCGTCATCTTCTTGGCACTGCTCAGCTCTAAGCGGGCATTCGGTCAGCATGGGGCATTTTGAGGTTGATTCAACGATTCGATCTAGAATCATCAGGAAAAAAAGTGATGTAGCAACGATTTAAAGTGCGAAAAGCGTCTGAAATCGAAGTGTAAGTTCTGCAAACAATTAAAGAAAGTGATGTAGCGGTACTTTGGTCTAGACCTAGATTCGGGTATGCATGTGTATTGAAACAATTAATGACATTTTTACGAAACTTTTTCGACCTCAATTCTGTAGGATTTTTCTAATGGTCTGGGGTTGATTAACCGACTGTACACGTTCGGCTAACGTCTTTTCACCTTGCAGGTAAGTACGGTAGTAATACGGACTCTTTTGGACTAAATGAACTTGTTTTGAAACGGATTTACGCGGCTTTCTTTCAAATTGACGTCTCTTCGGCGTCCTTTCGTCTTTACGTCTTCTGTTGTTATTCCCCGTTACTATGGTTACATGCTTGGTAAATTATGACGGATAGTGGATACATATTAAATTGTGGATACATATTAAATTCCTACAATTCCAACCATTTGAAAGTACACTAATTTAAAAAATTATGAAACTGGTATGTTGTTAATGCCTGGAATCAATAAATTAATAATTAATTAATTATTCATTAATTATAATAGTAAAAATTAATTAATGACTAATAATTAATAATTAATAAATTAACCTTACCTACTAATTATCTAATAAATGTCTCACATGTAGAGAGTACAAAGAAGAGGGCCAGTAAATCAAGATGTGTAGATTGTGAAAAGCTACAGCTAAATTAGGTGGTTTTTCAGTGGGTCACTGAGGCACCGCTGGCGGACGTAACGTGTTTTATGTGAGGTTTTATGAGTAATTAACCAATGAGTTTCTTCAATAACAGCTGAACTAATCAACACTTCCGGTAGTTGCACGGAAACTGAACACAAAGTTTCTTAATAGAAAATGTCCTGCATTTTTGCACTTGAGGACTGACTTTCAACACTCATTCACGCAGATCGTTGATTGATTCTAAGCTTAATCTAGAGCAAAAGTTTTCATTGATTCACCCAAGAATATTAGTTTCATTGGCAGATTTCGTTGATTTTTTATGAATTTTCTCAAACTCTGACAAACTTCACAATTACGTTTATTACATACAAAAAATTCCTTTTCATGCACAGGTAAAAGTCCTTTTATTGGCAGATTGAAGGGAGTTTTGATGAATTTTTGAAAGCAACGATCCAAAATGGAGCCGTTTTGAGAGCTTGCGTTCAAAAATATATTTCTCCAACAGCTTTTCACTTCTATAGAAGCTTTTGTGCTCACCAGATAGCTAAAAGCATGTTTCATTTCACCGTAAATTTTCCAATCAATGGCAGATTTGGATTCTTTTCTACAATTTTTTTAGAGCGACCTGCGAAGGTTGACTTTTCCAGTGGGAATTAAAAATTATTTTCTGCAAAAGCGAGTCAGCTGGACAGTTGATTTTGAGCTTTGTAAATAGCAAAAGTTTTCGTTTATTGACTAAAAAAGATTTGTTTAATTTACAGATTTAATTGATTTTTTATCAATTTTTAAACTCAACTAACAAAAGTTGGGTCGTTATGCGGAATTCAACAAATAATTTCTCTCACACTCTGGAAACAAAACAATCACAATTACCTTTATTACATACAAAAAATCCCTTTATACGCACAGATAAAAGTTCTTTTATTGGCATATTGCAGGGAGTTTTGATGAATTTTTGAAAGCAACTATCCAAAATGGAACCGTTTTGCGAGCTCGTGTTCAAAAATGTGTTTCTCCAAAAGCCTTTCACTTATTTAGAAGCTTTTGTGCTCACCACATAGCTAAAAGCATGTTTTATTTCTCCGTAAATTTTGCAGTCAATGGCAGATATGGATGATTTTCTACAATTTTTTTAAAGCGACCTGCGAAGATTGTGTGGCTTTTAATAATGGCGGAAATTAACAATTATTTTCCCCAAAACAGAGTCACCTGGCCAGTTGATTTTGAGCTTTGTAAAAAGTGGAAGTTTTTGTTTATTGACGTTAAATTTTCGTTTCATTGACATATTTAATTGATTTTTTATAGTTTTTTTACCAGAGAATAATGAGCCGTTTTACCGACCGGCTTTTGAGAGTTTATTTTCACTAAACTCCGCCAGTTAAATAGTTGACTTTGTGCTGCTCGAATAAAGAAAAGCTCCTTTTATCGACCTTTAAATAGTCGTTTTATTGGCTGAGTTGACTGATTTATTACGATTTTTTAAAACTGCAATCGAAATTTGAGTCGTTTTGCAGGCCGGACATCAATAACTAATTTCTCTAGAAACCATTGCTCTTTTACAGTCACTGGTGAGCTTTTACATACAAAAACATCGTGTTACTAACAGTAAAATGCTCGTTTTTCTGTCATATCTTGCGGTTTTTTTACGAATTTTTTAATATAACTACTATTGAGATTGAGCGGTTTTGCAAGCCGGAACTCAACATTTAATTTCTGCAAAACTCTTTCACTTCAGTTTCGTTCGTTTGATTAATTAGTTTGGCTGATTTTGCGAAATTTTGGGAAAGAAATACATTAAAATTGGGACTTCAATAATTAATTTCTCCAAAACTCATGTCCAAACGATCTAGACCCTCATGCATGCATGCACAAACTCGACCGAAAAGAGCTGGTTTCAACTATGAAATTGATTTAGATCCCAAGATGTAAAGACACTAAATTGCAAATTTAATTGGAAACTTAAACTTACCTCTGCTTCTGCATTGCACTTGAACCACTGCAAGCAAGAACAATCCCAAAAGCAACGGCCACTTGAGGATCATGTTGCCTACATCTAAATTCAATAAAACAACGTTAGTTTAGACAGTAATTTCGATGAATAACAACAGCTAATAACTAATTAATTCAGCGATGAAGATTGAAGGGCTAAAGCCGCCTTTGCACTCGCATACAATGCAAGTGTGGGATGCCAACAAATCTCAATGAATAACGAACAAAGATGATCGACTATTAGTGTTTTATGAGTAATCAGTAAAGGGGATACATTTTAAGTTAGTAGGTTAAATCAATAAGTAAAGGAGTTTAATTAATAAGGTGTGCAAATTCCAAATAAGTTGCAAACGAACACGTTTGCTTTAGCTTTAGTTTGGGAAAAATGCTCAAATTTACGGAAAATTTCTATTATTATATTTTCTCTATATGGGCAAAAAGTATCCGGTCGCTGCCTGCTCTGGTTTTTAGAGGAGAATTTTTCAAACACAAGCTTGCACGATAGACGGAAGTGCGCTCATTCAAATCACACTTTGTGGAGTTTTAAAAAATGGCTTTGGCCATAGATAGGGAAAATTTCGATGCCACAAGCGCCTTGGGTCAAAACTAGTTATTTTTTTAAATTTAGGGCCAACTAAGTCCATTGCCTAAAGTAGCCTCGATTTTGAAAACCATTGAAAAATTTATGAGTCCTCCCAGCAGAGCAGTACCTTATTTATTTATATATTCGAGTGTTTCTCTATGCATGCTGACAATTTCTCGGGCATATTTGCTCTAGTTGCCAAATTAGAATTTTTGACTGAAAAATTTGGGGTCGTGGTCTCCACGGTGAAATTTGAAAAATTCCCAAAAAATCAGGAACACCCCATCAAAAAATTATCTTGCAAATCTATAGACTAGAGTATCTTCTATGGATGCAGCAAAACTCAGGTGTCCATCTGCTCTGGTTACTAAAGCAGCTTTTTTCAAATACCGGTGTGCACTGTCGACAAATATCATCAAAAGTCCAGGAAAAACTCCAAAAAAAAACAGGAAAAATCAAATGAAACTTTCTCGAGGTTAGCTCGATGGCTCTGGCAACAGATAGAGAAATGTTGACCGTTCCCAGGGGTCTGGTTTGAAAATTGTAATTTTTACACCTCGAACTAAAAGTCAGTTCGGCAAACTCAAATTTGAAAAATTCCCCAAAATTCAGAAGCGCTCCCAACAGAAAATAATTTCCATAAAATACATAGATTGGAGCGTCTTTTATGAATATGAACAAACTAAGATCCCAATCTATTCTAGTTGCGAATGGTTTTTTTTCGAACAAAGGCATGCACTTTTGACAAGAGTCGCAAGGCTTGCTTTGAAGCTTTGCCAAAACTGTCCCAGTGCTCCGATTGATTTAAAACTTTCCCCGCTATAGAACCGATGGTTTTGGTAATAGTTGGAGAAAATTTCAGTGCCCCAAGTTGGCCCGTTGAAAACTTGTGAATTTTTTAAGCCTAAACTAGCTCAATTGCCTAAAGTGGCCAAACGCAAATTTGAAAAATCTCCAAACCTTCAAAAAAACTTGGTAGGTTGGGACACCCTGTACATAAAAATATTACATTTTCATGTGTGTGATCGCCATATCACGAAAATTGTGCAACTGAATCGCTAGTTTTGAATAACATTTCATTGCCACACTTGGTTGGAATGCGCCTAATTAGAATAGGAGGAGTTTTGAGTGTTTGGGCTAATCGGATTCCTCCTATAATGCATTGTGATATTCGTGTGGGAAGTGTCTGCTCCCATCAAAATTCCGATGTTGCATTTGCTTTACCTACACTATTTAGCTTACATATTAATAAGAGAAATTAGAATCCACGACGACTTGACTTCAATATGCAGTCAGTTGTTAGGTTTAAATTGGTTTAACAAATAGTGTTTCTTTTGCCTCACGATAGCAACAGGTTCCCGATCTGGAGACGGTTCAAAAAAGCATTTTCAATTGTGTGCGTAAAATTCGCTTAGCTTCAAAGGGCAGAAAACAATTAGGCCAAAGAAAACTTACTCATCACGCGCACACCAAAAACACAATCCAATCGAAAACTCACTGGCGCAGCTTGAATAGAACTCGACGTTCCTCCAAAATGACAAAAAAAAACAACTTCTTGCGAACTATCACGGCAGGTTCTCTTCGTTCGACTGTCTCGCTGTTCGCGTGTGCGTTTCTCCTTCTGAATCAGAATTGGCCGGATCGGACGAAGCCCACTGACCGACTTTCCTCTCGCTGAAGAGTTCCCAACCTCATCATTGGTGAGAGCTCAGCGTTACGTCACTGCCACGAAGAGGTCACCCGGAGATGGATCCGGGAGTGCAGCCGTCCCCCCACGGTCATCTGAGTAACGCCCGGAAGTATATTTTGCACACTTATAGGGTCCATTTATCTGCCTAAAAAGTAGTATTGGTGTATAAACTTGAAAGGGAAAATCAAACCTTGTCCATGTGAAGATGACCCAAACTTTTCTTAGTTAAAAGAGACACAGAAAAATGTTTTATGGAAAAGTTCCTTTGTAGTGATTGTTGAATAGTGTTTTCGGACCTGTGCATTTTTTTCTGGTGGACCACCCAATATATTTTAATGTTAAAACAAGGATGATATCGGTTGATTACTGGAACCACATCAGGTGGCCACCACGATCACCGGATCTAACACTTGCAGATTTTGCCTTATTGCCCTATAAAAGTGTGGAACATCAGCCACGCTATACAAAAGCACATCTATAATTTCAAACGGTTCGTTTACCTTTACGTAAATGAGGTACTAAAAAGTACCAACAAGCTGGCCTGCAATTATGCATGTTACCGTAGAGTAACGTACCATGGAACCACGGTCATTAATTTTTGGCTGGTTACCGAATAACTTTGCAGTTTTTTGAGATAAGCTAAGCTAACAATGTGCTAATCTCGTTAGCTGAAAGTTTGACTTGCTAGAACAAAAACACTCATTATCGGCGATTGGAAAATGTCCGATTTTTATCCAAGAATTCCGATTGTTTTAAAGAAGTTTTAATCAGAAATATTATCCAGCAAATTCATAAAATTCACGTTTACTGATAGGTACTTTCAGTGTGTATGAACCAGCTCAATGAACATTGAAAGCTTTCGTCGGTTTGGTTCTGAATTGAGTTTTTTTGTGGAATCTAGAGCCACTCAACCACCAGGTTGCCTGTATATCGTTGTGTATATTTCAAATGGAATAAATGTAAAATTTCATATTGTGAGTGACCGTTTTTGCAACTGGAGGCGTGGTGAAAAGCGTTATTGCGGCATAAATGTAAACACGTTCGTAGGTGGTCACTTATTCATGATTGGTCTATTGGACACCGATGAATTTATATGAATAATGCGCAATGATAAATGTAGGTGCTTTTGTGTTCTACGCAAATTCGACGAATTCTTGCGAATTCGCATCAGTATTGCAACTTCAGTGAAGGATACTGGAAAGTTTGATGACATAAACCGATGAACATCGATTCTACTATTAAGCAACTAATTTGATGATTTCTTAATATGACTTATACAAGTTAAGGCCTCTTAAGGCAGTGTATTTTGAACGCATTTTGCTGCTCCAATCCGCAAAAGCCGATGAGTTTGTACCCATTAATGCCCATACTTCTAGATACCTGGAAGTAGGCTTCGGTGACTCAGTTAATTTTTAGGAGTTAACACAACCGGCGCAGTAACTCAGCTCCGTTGCTGGAAAAATTTTGATGACTTTTTTTACTTTTTTTAGATTTATTTTAAAGGCCATTGATTAATCATATTTTTTAAATGTCTCCAAATTTCATAATTTTTCATTTCTAGCCAAGTTACTCTTTCTTCTAAATGCTCAATTTTCTAAAGTTTCACTTAAAAATGACCTTATTTTCCGCGAAAAATTATGAAATAAAGTTTGAATCGTTCGTCGCTTTGTAAAACGTTCCGAATTCCTTTCCAGCCTAGCAATTTGGAACAAGAATCAAATAATTTTTCATCAAAAAACGAACAGAATAAGCAAAAGTTTATGACAGATTATTTGGAAATCTTTGTTTCCTGTTGAAATGAGAATTTGTTAAAAAACGTGGTTTTTATTTTTGATTGAATTGTTTTGCTTTACTTTCTACTCAAAAACGCTCTATTTTATAGAGTTTTACTTAAAAAAAATCAAGATCTGGAAGTCTTTTACGCAAAAAATTTATAGCTGGAAAAATTGTACAAAAACTGTTTTCAGCTGACACCAACGAAAATAAATTCCTCCCGTTTTTCATCGAAAACCATTAAAGTTTTCTCCAGAATCGATAGCAAAACTAAAAGTTCTTACTCGAAAACCCAAAAAAATCATTATTTTTATATTTTATTTGGTTGGTTTGGTATAGTTTATGATAATTTATTCGGTAAACTCTTGGAAACTGGGGTGTTTTTACTTTTAGGTCAATATTTCTAAACAACACTGTCTCTCAACAGAAAACCACGTTTTTCCTAACGTTTTACTGTAAAATACTGGCATGCAAAGAAAATTAAGAGATCGATTTTACAGCAAAACTCGTCGACTTCCTTTGGAGTTCGGTTGCTGAGAAAATCTAGATTACTTTTTTTAGTTTTTTGAACAAAGTAGTTAAACGTTACTCAGAAAAATATTGATGATCTTTTTAGATGTGAAAATTCCAGTCTCGGGTCTCGTAAAGCTTTAATAAATGCCTTATAACTCATTAACCGATGAGTTATAACTCGTTGACTCAGAGAGCGGTAACAACTCACTAGCGCAACTCAACCCAGTGTTACCCAGGCCCAGCTGAAAGCATAAATTTAACGAAAGATTCGGGTTTGGTGTTCATACTGGTTTTCGGAACAGGATATAATTTCAATCGTGAAAGTTTTTTCATCCATTTTTGCGAAATTTGTCGATTGACAAGAAAATTTATCAGTCTCGTTTGTAATCGCAATTTATGTGATTTTACAAATTTTCTAGTTTTTCTGCTTCAAATAGCGGTTTTTACCTTTAGTGTCATTGAATGCAGTAATTGTGCAATAGCGGATGATTTGCAAAATAATTTTGATGAAAAATACCTTAATTTTTAACAGGTAAATTGATTAGACAATAAGAAAAAAACCTATATTTTTTAGCAAAACTCAGTTTCAGAACGATCTTCGGCTCGAAAATTGCTCACTCTCAAAAACTAGTGCTGCCGCTAGAAACTGCAGTCGCGAAAACGGTAAAAAAGCACTTACAATCTTCTTTGCGACAGGACAAATTAAATGATCTGAATATTTTAGTCTTTATATATTTAATTTGCAATAAATTAGAGAGACATGGAGCCTTAGACAAGGAAAGAGAGGGGACGCGTAACATCCTTTACTAGCCGTATTCGTGTAGTGAAGCCAAAATTGGAGTCAACGCCATTTACTGGTGACAAACATTCGCGGTGACATTAAAAGTTGTTTTGCGGTTTGTGTGTGATTTTTAAATTAAAGACCAAAATATTTGTAATTGTTTACGATGGTGGG